CCCCCTGTGAGGCCAAAACTCCCCCTCCCCCCCCCCCCAATAGCTAGCAATCCAAAAGTGTCCAGTGGCACCTTTAAAGCCAAGTTTTATTCAGGCACAAGCTCTCCCTCCTCTGTGAGGACAGATCTGCACGTCCCCCCCCCCATAGCTAGCAATCCAAAAGTGTCCAGTGGCACCTTTATGGCCAAGTTTTATTCAGGCACAAGCTCTCCCTCCTCTGCGAGGACAGATCTGCACGTCCCCCCCCAATAGCTAGCAATCCAAAACAGTCCAGTGGAGCCTGAGTGGTGGGTGTTGCCTTCTGGCACACTTCCAGCGATGCCAGGGGGTGTGGCATATGCAAATAAGTTATGCTAATGAGTTATGCTAATGAGCTCCTGCACCTCTCTTTTTACTGGAAAAGGATGAATGGAAGCAAATGCTTCCTTTCAGCCGGGGAAGAGCCTTGGGGGGGGAGGCTTATGCCCAAGGGTGGGCTTTGGGGAAGGATTAGAAGCTAGGGGAACCGGAGTGGCACCACGTGGGAGTTCTCTGTTCGCACTTCGGGTTGGCGTCAACGGCTGCCTCTTCATCCTGCAGCTTCCACTCCTTTCTTCACTCGAACTCGGCGGAGGCCGTGGCCATGGGCCTGCTGAAGCAGTTCGAAGGGATGCAGCTCCCCGCCGCCTCGGAGCTGGAGTGGCTCGTGCCGGAGCGCGACGCCCCGCAGAAGGTAGGGTTCTTCCGGAGCTGTGCCAGCCGGCGGTCCCGAGTGCGGGTCCCGCCTGCCCTCTGCAGACCGAACCTCTCCCCTTAGGACAGGCCAGATGAGAGTACGACCGCCATAGTCCTCTTCGATGCTCCCTCTAAACTGTGGAGCCTTGTGAGCAAAAATCCTACTTGGCAAGCCCCTGGCGTTAAAATTGTGAGCGAGCGACTCGCCTGCTGCATAAATTAGTCAGCTCCGGAGCCCTCCTTCCTGAGCGAAGACAAAATCGGGTAAGCCGGAGGCTAAGAAACTGAGCTAGCTCACACCAACTCAGCTTAGGGGGAACGCTGGCCCTCTTTCTCCTCCTCGGCCGTCTTGTTTATATTTTTGTTATCATTTCGGTTTGTGGATCGCGCCAGAGACATGCAAAGCCCCTGACCGGTAACTCGCTGTTGGTTTTCAGGGCTCAAGGCTGACCCTTAAAAAGCTCTTTAAGAGGCCCAAGTGGTATAAGAAAAGGCAGCTTTCCAAAAAGCTACTGCTGGTAATGTCCAATGGGGGAGTGTGTGTGTGTTCACCGTGTTTTCTAACAGCCTTTATTAAAATCCCATTTGGGGTGCCATGGTGTGTTTGTGTGGGTATGTGGTGTGCCATGGTGTGTGGCGTGTGGCGTGTGGCGTGGCTGCACTCCTCGGACGAAGGGGCTGGGCTTCAAGTAGAACTCCATAAGCATGGCTGTTCGCTCTCTTTGGAGCTGTGGTGGCTCAAGTGGTTAAGATGCTGAACTGCAGGCTGTGGAAGGTCGGTAATTCAGCAGTCCGAGACCCGAGTGCCGCATGACGGAGTGAGCTCCTGTCTCTAGTTCCAGCTCCTGCCAACCTAGCAGTATTTGGGAGAGGAGCTTGGAGCTGCGGTGGCTCAAGTGGTTAAGACGCTGAACTGCAGGCTGTGGAAGGTCAGTAGTTCAGCAGTTCGAGACCTGGGTGCCACATGATGGAATGAGCTCCCATCTCTAGTTCCAGCTCCTGCCAACCTAGCAGTTCGAAAGCAAGAAATTGCAAGTAGATAAATAGGGACCACTTCGGTGGGAAGGTAACAGCGTTCTGTGCGCCTTGCTGGCCACATGACCACGGAAACATCTTCTGACAGCGCTGGCTCTTCGGCTTTGAAACAGAGATGTACCCTAGAGTCGGATTCGACTGGCTTTCGAGCAAGGGAACCTTTACCTTTACCTTTCACTCTCTTTGAGTCAAGAGGTTGCAAATTCATGCCCAGCCAACGGTAATTCGGCAGTTCCAGACTGCAGGTTTTGACCCACTCTTCATTAGGAAGAACCTCCTGACAGTGAGAGTGGTTCCTCAGTGGGACAGGCTCTGACAGCCATGCTGATTCTGTGAACTCAGGCAGGTCACAAGAAGGGGAGGGCAGGAAGGGTACCTGTTGAGACTGGGTCTGTGTTTATGAACAGGAAAGAAGTGAGGTTAAACATAAACAGGGCATGGTTTCCTGTCCTGAAAAACACAAAAGGCTCTGCATCTGACAGTAGCACTACAGATAAGATTAGAAGTTCAACAGCCAATCCACCTGCAAAAGAACCTCCTCAGGAAACAACCCATATGCAAAAGAACCTCCGCAGGAAAACAGCCAATCCATATACGAAAGAACCTCCTCAGGAAAGCTCCTCCATTAGCATGTTTCACAGCCTGGGGAACTCCTACATGAGAATGACTCAGCCCTACCCCACCTTCCCGAGTAGAGATAAATTACCTGCCTACCATTTTTCTTCTCACACTGACACAGAGAGTACTCCCTCTTTCTGTGTCATACCTTTGAGGATGCCAGTCACAGCTACTAGCGAAACGTCAGGTCCTACAGTGCCAAGACCATGGCCAGACAGCCCGGGAAATCCACAACAGCTCTGTGATCTTTGTCGGTGGTGGAATTTGACACAGTGGGGTTGCACGCCAGATCAGTGGCAGAAGGAAAGGCAGGAGTGTAGTTGGAAGAGGAGTGCTTCACACCCAGATGCTCACAGCATGAACATGGAACACAAACTCTACACGTAGAATTCAGTGTGAGAATCTCCCTTTGCCAGCCACTCTTCCTGCCAGAGACACCGACACCACCTTGATATATTCTGTTTCCCTCTCTTTGAGGGATTTTCTAGGAAGGCTGAAGCGTCTTTAGTTGATGGGTCAGTCAGGGGGGCCTCTACCTGTGACCTTAATTCCCAGGCAGGAATAGAAGCATTTAAAGTGTTCATGTGCCCACCTCCACAGAGGCCTCGTCACAAGGGCCAGAGCTTGGGACCAAGGATGACGGTGGAGCAGGCCTTTCAGTGTCACTGAGTGGGGCCAAGTATCCGTGCGTCCGCACGGCTTCTCCCCTGGCTAGCAGATAAGGAGTAGATTATCCGGCGTAAGCAAATCCAAGTGCGTTCGCTGAATGCCTCCTTCAGGTTGCAAAATTGGATGTAGCAGTGCAGAGTCCGCATGCAATCGATATTGGGTTAAATGTTTTTTTTTTTTTTAAATTGGCCTTGTAAGCACAGGAGCTTTTTCACGGTATCCCCGATCACATTTCCCGGTGAAGGACAAACTGTCGTTCAAGCCAATGACAAAGATGATCTGACGCCAGTGGTCACAGGAGAAAGAAACTTCACTTACAAAAGTAGAAGCACATCTTACATGACATATTCCTGTACGTGCATTTAACTTATTGCGAACAGATTAGCTCCCCAAAAGGTGAACTTGCTACATCTCCAAGCCCAGGTAGGAGAGAGAAGAAGTCCTATATAAGATGAAACACAGAAGGCCAGCGAGGCTCAACATCTAAGCGATGAGAGGCGGGTGGGGCCGACTGCCAAGGGCACCCGAGTGAGCGGATTCTCTTAACCCTTTCCCTCCCAGATCCTCCTGCAGGCAGAGTTGCAGTATCCAACCATCAATGCTCTGTAGGAGAGCCCGAGGTCCTGAAAGTCACCGTTTTGTACATGTGTGTGTGTGGAGTGTCAGAAACAGAACAGCCATGTTTACAACTTGCTGCACATTAAAGGCCCATCCAAAGCCTGTGCCTTTTCGTACTGCCGAAAGTGACTAATAGCACCAGCTTGAGCCCGTATAACGCGGCTGACGGGCCACACCAGCTTCCCCTGCTGCCGTTTCTCGCCTCACCCCCTTGCTAATCAGTCCGGCATCAGCTTTGCAGGCAGGCCTTTGTTGCGTGACCCACGGTTCTGCTCTCTGGCTTCCCGGAAGATGCTCTTATTCTCCAGTTGCCACAGCTTAAGAGTGTCGGCACCCATTCTGGCGCCGCTGACGGACCGCCTGATTGCTCTTGGGGTTTTGGGCCGCTGTGTGACACACAGAGTGTGGGACTGGATAGGCCATTGGTCTGATCCAACATGGCTTCTCTTACGTTCTTATCCTTTTCAAAAATGGCTTAGTTTCTGTCAAGGGGAAGTTGTTGTTGTTTTCAACAGCTGACAGATGCCGTCTGGCAGGATTCTGTTTTGGTAACCAGAAGAACTGATTGGCCCCTGTGTGAAACAGAATGCTGGACTGCGGGGACCACTGGTCTGATCCAGCACATCTCTTCTGATGTTCTTATGAAGGACTCGGCCTCTCTGGCGTGTTGTGGTTCCTCCAGAGGAACTGGCTGGCCACTGTGTGAGATGGGATGCTGGACTAGATAGACCCCTGGTCTGATCCAGCAGGGCTCTTCTGATGTTCTTATGAAGGCCTCGGCCTCTCTGCCCTGTTGTGGTCCCTCCAGAGGAACTGGTTGGCCCCTCTGTGAGACAGGATGGTGGACTAGATGGACCCCTGGTCTGATCCAGCAGGGCTCTTCTGATGTTCTTAAGAACATAAGAGATGCCAATGTTGGATCAGGCCAAAGGCCCATCCAGTCCAACACTCTGTATCACACAGTGACCAGAAATACCAGTGCCATCAAGAGGTCCACCAGTGGGGCCAGGACATTAGAAGCCCTCCCACTGTTGACCCCCCCAAGCACCAAGATGACAGAGCATCCCTTGCCCCAGAGTCCCTATCTATACCTTGTGGCTAATAACCACTGATGGACCTCTGCTCCATATGCTTATTTAATTCCCTTTTGAAGCCGTCCATGCTTGTAGCCGCCACCACTTCCTGTGGCAGTGAATTCCAAGTGTTAATCACTCTTTGGGTGAAGAAGTACTTCCTTTTATCTTATGAAGGACTCAGCCTCTCTGCCCTGTTGTGGTCCCTCCAGAGGAACTGGAGGAACTGGCTGGCCACTGTGTGAGACAGGATGCCGAGCTAGGTGGACTATTGGGCTGATCCAACAGGGTTTTTTTATGTTCTTATGTTCAGGGAAGAACAGCAGCCATTTCAGTTGCAACTAAAGTTCTCAGTGCACTAATTCTATGTACAGTTTTATTAGTATAAATAACTGCGCATTCATCTCAAGGTATGTAGTAACAGTTCTCCCTTTTCCTCTTCTTTGGGGTCTTGAGTAGAACAGAGGCTCTCCAGGGGGATGGGAAAACGGGTCCCACTTTGAGCCACATTTGCCGGGTGAAACGGGGACACCCCGGTGCTGCCCGTGGGTGTGGTGGCGCTGACCTTCCCTCCCTCTGTCCTCTTGCAGCTGTTGCCGATTCCGGATTCCGTGCCCATCTCCCCCGATGATGGGGAACATGCCGATATCTACAAACTGCGAATCCGGGTCCGGGGGAACCTGGAATGGGCCCCCCCACGACCGCAGATCATCTTCAACATTCATCCGGCACCAACGTAAGAAGACCGGCTGCTTTGAGCCGGTGGCAGAGTGTGCGTGTGCATGTGCGTATGTGTACCAGCCCCCTCTTTGGCGATGGAAACATGCTTGAAACAGGGCTTGTCTCAAGGACAGCAAAAAGGGATCGCCTTCAAAGCCGCCTCACGGGAGTGTTTCGCGGTCTAGCCCTGTCCTCTGCCCATTGGTCCTCACTGTCCCGCCCTCTGCCTGAGCACGTCTGGTCATGTCGCTTTATTGGCTTCCAGGAAAAATCCATGTTTTCCTCAACTGTTTGGAGAAATCTTTGGCCACGATCCAGGTTGCTGTTATGGAAGAGCAGTCCCAGAATTGCGCCGCTTTTGGTTCTGCCTACCATAATGGCGCATGGCTCCATTGCAACAAGTTCATGGCGGGTTATCATTATTTAATTATTTAATTCATTGATACCCTGCCCTATCTCACGATTCCCTGTTCAAATGCTGCAGCCCAATCACACAATATGATTTTTAACAATTCAGCCAGTTGTTGTAGTGGTTAAGTGCGCGGACTCTAATCTGGGAGAACCGGGTTGGATTCCACTTGCACCTGGCTGGCTTACCTTGGCCAAGCCGTAGTTCTGATAAGAGCTGTTCTTGAAAAAGAGCTGTTTCTGTCAAGAGCTCTCTCAGCCCCACCTACCTCACAGGGTGTCTGTTGTGAGGAGGGGAAGGGAACGGAGTTTGTAAGCCATTCTGAGACACCTTTGGGTACTGAAGGGCGGGGTATAAATCCAATCTCCTCTTCTTCTTCTTTACTGCACAGCAGCTGCAGGGAATGGCTTTTTAAATGTCGGTGGGGGGCGAGTTGGCTTAGGAAGCAACGGGGGGGGGTGAGCCCCTCCTTCCCACACAATGTGTTTCTGAGCCGAACTGATATTTTAAAAAGCTGTTTCCTGCAGCTGCTGTAGGGCTGCAGGGAAAGTGACTCGGATCCCATCATTACAAGTCATATTGTCGTTTGACCCCCAAATCCTCGTACGAGCGTCCCTAGCGGACCAGCATTAAGAAATGTTTAGTAGTGGTGGGCATAAGTTTTGTTTGTTTTATCATCACTGTTTTGTCTCTGGATAGGCGGAAAGTGACTGTGGCAAAGCAGAATTACCGCTGTGCAGGCTGCGGGATCAGGACGGACCCTGGTGAGTTCTGGAGACTCTTATCTTTGCTCGTGTCTTTGATCTGAAAGGCTCGGCACGGTTCAGATCTTCACAGGCAGGGCTGGCGATTCCGTCTGTGAAGGAATGGACCTAGAAGGCTTCCCTGTTACTTCAGGTTGGTCCCTGGGAGATCAGGAAGCCCTGCAGCCATCCCAAGTTTCTGCTCAGCAACGCCATCCCTTCCTCTAACCCATATTGCTGTTCAAGGGCCACCTGGTTGCCACCAATGTTCCCTCTAAGCTGTGAAGTCCTGTGAGCAAAGATTCTACTTTGTGAGCTACTGGCATTAAAGTTGTGAGCGAGCGTTTTGGCTGCTGCATAAATTAGTTTGCTCTGGAGCCTTCCTTTCTGAGCTAAGGCAAAAAATGTGTTTGCCAGAGGCTAAAAAATTGTGAGCTAGCTCACACTAACTCAGCTTAGAGGGAACACTGGTTGCCACACTGGTTGTCATGCTTCTACCTGCTAGTACAGAGGCATTCTATCACAACTTCATGATTTTGAGCTATCATGCTCCAGAGATGGTGAGCTTACTTGCTGCCCCTCTCCGTTACTACACTTCAGGTAGCAAGATCAGGCATGGTGTGTTTCCGGAGATCAGACCTAAGAGCATTCAAAATATAAGGAAGTTTAATACATGAATAAAAATAATACACATGGTACGTTCAAGCATTCAGACTGAGCAAGGGTACAAAGAAAAGGTGAAAACATGCAGTCCTCTCATCCTTTTCCCTATGCTCAGTAGTTACCATAAACAATGTTTAAAGAGGACAGGCTGGTATTCCTTGGAGGAAGTGGCAGCATTTCAAGCTTGGCATTCCCGTAGTTCTTATGATTGGGACTTCTCCCCATTGTGCCTTGTGCTACTCATGATGGAAGAGCAGCTTCTTTGTATACAGAGAATGTATAACCTCCCCTTGAGAGAGTCTCTTTTCTGTGCCCCAGTCATTCAACCCTTCCTGCCACAAGAGGAAGGGTTTACTATGTAGCAACTTGGCTCTTAGCGGTCTCTGAACTGTTGAATGTGACTTTTTAGCAGGACATTGTTCTACTTGGGCCAGAGCCATTAGCATATGTAAGCCCTAAAGTACTCCACACCTTGGGGCTTGGTGGCTCATCCCCCTCTTCCCTGCAAGGAATGAGTTTGCTGCCGGGTTTCATCACATGCAAGAGAGTGCAGTCACAGTGACTGAAATATTGGGGTGCATTCTTGGATGGAGGCGTGTTTCTGTACCAGGGATCCCCAGCCACGGCGCCTGACAACACCTTTCCTAGTGTCCACCAAATGTCTTTGTAAAGTGGGGGATGAAAAGTGGGGCTTTTGCCCAGCACGGCTTCCGGTTGTCACTGGGGATTTGATCTGCTGTGCAGATTTTTAAAGATGTGGCTTAGAAAGTGGCTGGCCACCACAGCACAAGGGACTTCACTGTGTGACTCGAGGTAAGCGGGTAAAGCAAAAAGGGAGGACAGAACACCGAGATAAAGCTTTACAAATTATAATAAATTAAATAAAACACTTATTTGCATAGCTGAGCACTTTCGCCTTTCACACCTATAAAGGTACATAAATGTAACATCCCAACGCCAGCGGTAATGGCTCAGGCACACAGATTAGCGCACGCAGGCACTTGACGGAATTTCAAGCAACAAGGTGCTGTTTTTCCTGTTCTCGCAGGCACACGATAATTTGTGATAAGTGCGGTTTTTCTTGTGCGCACAGGCATCATGTGATTTGTACGATAAGCATAAACGTCCGCTCTATTCTGCCATGGTCAGGCCTCACCTGGAGTCCTGTGTCCAGTTTTGGGCACCACATTTCAGGAAGGATGTTGACAAGCTCGAGCGTATCCAGAAGAGGGCAACCAGGATGGCGAGAGGGTTGGAATCCAAGTCTTACGAGGAAAGGCTGAAAGAGGTGGGTCTGTTTAGCCTGGGAAAGAGAAGGCTTAGAGGGGACACGATTGCAGTCTTCAGGTATTTGAAGGGCTGTCATGTAGAAGATGGAGCAGATCTCTTCTCTCTTGCTCCGGATTGCAAGACTAAGTCTAATGGGTGGAAATGACAAGGGAGTCGTTACCAGCTATATATCAGGAGACACTTCCTGACTGTAAGAGTGGTTGAGCAGTGGAACAGACTGCCTCAGGAGGTGGTGGATGCCCCTTCGCTGGACGTTTTCAAGCGGAGGCTGGACGACCATCTCTCGGGTATGTTGTAGGGCTATCTTTTGGTTGTGCTTCTGCAGAGTGCAGGGGGTTGGACTAGATGACCTGCAAGGTCCCTTCCAACTCTCACATTCTATTATTCTATGATAAGTTCCGAAAGGAAATAATTAAAGACGGAGTGTCTGTTATTATATAACGCTGAAACAGGCCTCCAGAGCAACTTGATTAGGAGCCATTGCACGTGGACAATATTCAAGTAGGCATAAATTACCGTGTACCTGACAGCACCGGAAAAAACAGCACCTTGTTGCTTTAAATTCTGTTGAGTGCCCGTGTGCACTGTTTTGTGCATCTTAGCCATTACTGCTGGCGTTTGGATGTTACATTTACTTATGTTTATAAGTGTAAAAGGTGACAGTGTCAGGCTATAAATATATGTGTGTATAGCTTGTGACGGTTTGTCTTGGTGTCCGATCCTCCCTTTTTGCTTTACACACGCTTGGGAGTCTTTCCATTCTCATATGGAGGTAAGTGGTGGCAGCAGGCATTTCCTGGCCATTTACTTATGTTTATAAGTGTAAAAGGTGACAACGTCAGGCTATAAATATACATGTATATAGCTTGTAACCCTATCCTCCCATTTTGCTTTACACACACTTGGGAGTCTTTCCATTCTCATCTGGAGGTAAGTGGTGGCAGCAGGCATCTCCTGGCCAGCTTCACCTCCTGCAGCAGCCGTCTTGTGGCTGCACCCACGATGCTGTATCAGAATTCCAGAGGTGCCCGCGGGCCCTAAAAGTCTGGAGGCCCTGCTCCATACCATTTATACACGCAGCATGCTGTACAGAATCAGGGCTCCCAACGCAGCCTTCTCCGGCTATACCTTCTCCTTGTTCTTGACACGATTGGGTAGACTGAGCCCCGACTCCCCGGAAGAAGGCTAAAAGCCCTTTCCTCCCTCCCTCCCACCTCCCTGCCTCGGGGACTCGCAGATTACATCAAGCGCATGCGCTACTGTGAGTACCTGGGCAAATACTTCTGCCAGTGCTGCCACGAGAACGCCCAGGTGGTCATCCCCAGCCGCATCCTGTGCAAGTGGGACTTCAGCAAGTACTACGTCAGCAATTTCTCCAAGGACCTGCTGAGCAAGATCTGGAGCGACCCTCTCTTCAACGTGCAGGACATCAACGCCTCCCTCTACCGCAAGGTCAAGCCGCTCAACCAAGTCCGAGTAAGTAAGGCGGAGTCTGGGGAACCTGTTGTGTCCCACTTGGGTTGCCTTGGTTTCCTCGCAAAGGATCCTGGGAGTCATAGTCGGGCAAAGCTGCTGAGATTTGTAAATTAGAAACACAGTTCTCGGGATTCCCGCAAGAGGAGGAACAACTGCTAAGCCCGCCTGAAGTGCGGACATGCCCCGATGGTGGCGGGAAAGCAGCAAGCGAGGAGGAGGGACCCTGTCACGTATGCTGAGAATAGCGGAAAGGCATAAACTCGGCATCTCGTATCTCCTGATTGTCTAAATTTGGGAGATCTTTCCCCCCACAATTTCCACATGACTTCCCTGCCTCCTTCCTCCCACTGCAACCCCCAGTGCTGCTCCTGGGGGTTGGAGGACCCCGGGAATAGCTTGGGGGATGGCCAGAGCTCTGTGGGCGTAAGACACAGGGAGGGGGGAAACAAACCTGGCCCAGAAACTGGAATCAAGAACCACAAGGCTAAGAAAGAAGTCTGATAAAGGGCCAATATCAAAAACCTATAGTATACAAAAATACATGTATTTATTAGAAAGGCAGTTAAAAACAAATAAGGGCCGAATGAAAGCCTCGTTGAAAAGTCCAAGTGGCCTGAACACAAGGGTCAAACAGTTTGACCTCTGAAGAAGGCCCCCAATAGGGCGGAAACGGGTCAGGCCATGTGTCTCAGCCCCTGTGTTCAGGCCACTTGAACTTTTTAACAAGGCTTTCCTTGGGCCCTTGTATGTTTTTAATTATGTCATTTCCTGCGGGAGCGCACAGGAGCAAAGCTCCGGCAGTAAGGAGCCCAGGGGGCGGGCACATGCAACAAGCCCTGCCCTTACTCCCAGTGGGGCCACGAGGAGCAAGAAGTAGCCAGGTAAGTTGCAGAGCCGCCCCCTTCCCCCCCCCC